ACACACACACACACACACACACACACACACACACACAATTAAAATAAAAAAAATGTAAGTTAGAAATTATTTAAAGATTTTAATTTAAAAGTGTTTTAAATTAACAATATTTCAAAATTAAAAATATTGTAGCTTTAAATTTTAAAAATATTTTAAAAATAAAATAAATATTTTTAAATTAAAAAAAAAATGCCCCCACTGTGTCCTTGCTGGCCCATGACAAAGGCTAGACATAAGCACTACAGGTTCCCAACTTTGCAACACCAGCAATTAGCTGAACTTCTGGCTCTCACTGATCAATCTCAACAGATGCAGTCTTTGTTTTATTTTGTACCCCTGCCCCAACTTTGGACCAGCTTCCCCCTTCCCTTAAAGACCCTTGTGATGGTTTCAATGAGAACAGCCCTAATAGGCTCACACATTTGTATGCTTCCTCCCTAGTTGTTATAGCTGTTTGAGAAAGGATTAGGAGGTGTGATCTTTAAAGAAAGTGTGATGGGGTTGGGCTTTGAAGTTTCCAAAGTCCATACTAGGCATTCCTGCTTGCTCTGTCTCCTGCCTGCTAATCTATATGTAAGAAAGCAAGCTCTCATCGACTGTGGCAGCCCCCTGCTTGCCTGCCTGCCAGGCACCATGCTTCCTGCCTCGATGATCATGGACTCACCCTCTGAAATTGTAAGCAAGCACCTTTTATGCTTCCTTTTATACACCATCTTGGTCCTGGTGTCTCCTTAGAACAATAGAATTGTTACTAAGATAACCTTTTAGAACAAGTGGGTGTAAGACCCCTTGTCCTTTAGGCATCCTTGATCCTACTTTCCCAGGAAAGCACCTTTTACTTGCCCCACACTTTACCTGAACCAGCTACAAAATTGTTGTTGTTGGGCAGTGGTAGTTCATGTTTTTATTCCAGCACTCAGGAGGCAGAGGCAAGTGGATCTCTGTGAATTTAAGGCTAGCCTGGTCTACAAAGTGAATTCCAGGCCAGGCTCCCTCCAAAGCTACACAGAGAAACCCTGTCTCCAAAAACAAACAAAACCAAAGACCTGGCTGATTTCTTTTTCTGCAGCTGGTCCACACACAGTCTCTAGCTCTTATTCAAAACATTCCTTGGAAAGCTGGACATGTTGACACCAACCTATAATCCTGATCTTGGGAGGTAAAGGTAGCCAGATCAGGAATATTCAAGGTCATCCTTGCCCATATTGTTAAGTTGTATGCTTCCTTTATTTGGGGAATGTGACACTGGGGTTTTTGTTGGTGAGCTACTGCCCACCCCCCACCATAGTGAGAAATGACTAATTCTTACTTATTCAGAGTTTACTGTTTATAACTCTAATAGCAGCAAAAATAATTTTAGTGATGTTAGAGAAGTTTTATTAATTTAAAAAGATTTATTGATTTGTATGTTTGCCTGTGTGGGTTTCTGTGTACCATTTTGTGAGCCACCTGATGTGCAGTAGGAACTAAACCTGAGTCCTCTAGAACACTAAATGCTCTTAACCACTGAGCCAGTCTTATAATGGAAAACATTTAATTGGGGCTGGCTTACAGATACTAAGGTTTAGTCCTTTATTGTCATGGTGGGAAGCAAGCAAACATGGTGCTGGAGAAAGAAGCTGAGAGTTCTACATCTTGATCAGCAGGCAGCAGGAAGTGAATTTCAAAGTCCACCCACCCCCAGTGACACACTTCTTCCAACAAGGCCACACGCTCTAATCCTTTCAAAAATGAGTCTATGAAGACCATTTTCATTCAAACCACCACACTGTCAAATGTGTTAAATGTGTTAGAGTCCCAGAGACGTCCCACAAAAGACCACCGTCTACACATGCAATCAGAAAAAGTGTTTATTATCTCTAGAAGTTCCAGCATGCTGCTTCCAAAACAAAGGCTAAAATGGCGACCCCAAGAAAATTTGTAGGCTCTTTTATACACAGCTAAAGGAATTCTAAAGGCAGTGAGATCATCTCTATCTAGGATTGGTTTACTCCAGTGGCAATCATATTAGTGTGTTTCTAATTGGTTAGGATTAACAGGGGTTGGCTAAAGCAAAAGCTTTTCCATTTTGGGGCAAGTCTGGACAAATCCCAAGCTTTGTCCTTATTTGGTTATTGCATTGAGGTAATGGGGGTGGGGTTGGCCCAGACCTAGTATGTGCAGTTCCCCTTATCCTCACTGTCAGGGGTGTTGGTGACTGATTGCCCTTTGTTCAGGTCTTCCTCAGAAACTGTCTTGTTTCATTTCAAGAGGAGGAACGGAGACCTTGTTCCTAACTGAATTATTAGGAGCCTGTCATGGTATTTTCCTGGACTTCTCAGAAAGGTCACTTTCTGAGAAGATATAGCTGGTTTGTATTTGTGCTCTGACAGGCTGGCTTGCTCCAGCTGCTTTAGATAGTTGAAGCTGATCCTTATTTAAATACACTCTTTAATCCTGTCAGAGGGCTGATTTTCCTGCAGCATGTAATCTATAAAATAGGTCTTGTGCTAATGAACTTTTCAACACAATGCAGTGTCTATACTCAGGAGTATTTAATTGTGGAATGTGGCTTATACTCAGAAGACCAGGGCTGTCTGGGTCAAAGGGCACACAACTCATGCCCCAAAGTCTGTACCCTGTTGTCAGCAACAGAGGGAGAAAACTTATGACTGGCACATAAAGATTATTAGGAAACAACATACTTCATGTTAGTCTGCTGGGATTTGATGGGAGAAAACTGAAAATCCTTTGGGGCTTAATGGAATGACTGATTTGACCATTAGGAAGTTTTTATTTGTGTTTTCACAGAACTCAGGGAAATGCTGTTAACTTTTTTTTTCAGACTTTTTTTCCTTTTTCTTGACAAGATTTCTCTGTGTAGCCCTGGTTGTCCTGGAATTCACTCTGTAGGCCAAGCTTGTGAACAGAAATTTCTGTCCCACCTGGTCCCACAGCCAATTAGTCCCAAATAAACACACTGAAGCTTATATTAATTATAAACTGTTTGGCAGATGGCTCAGGCTTCTTATTGGCTAGCTCTCTCTTAATTATTAACCCATTTCTATTAATCTATGTCTATCCCTATGTTCTTGGCTTACCTGTGATGCCTGGACCTCTTTCTTCCTTGGCAGCTACATCGTGTCTCTCTGGTAATCCACTTTCTGTGTTCCTCTTCCCAGATCTCCTAGTCTGGTTGCCCTGCCTATACTTCCTGCCTGGCTACATCCTGCCTATCCATTGGCCAAAACAGCTTTATTCATCAACCAAGAAGAGAAAGATATTCACAACATACGGAAGGACATTCCCCCATCACAGGCTGGCCTCAAACTCAGAGATCTTCCTTTCTCTGCCTCTTGAGTTATGGGATTAAAGGCATGTGCCACCACCACCCAGCTTGGATGCAAAGACTATTTTAAAAGATATGAATGCCAATGGGCCCTAAGCACAGGCGTTTCCCTCCTGGCACTCTCCTCCTGGTAAGTGATTTTTCGTCACCTTGGGAGCATTATACCAATCCAGTGTCCAGCAGCTCCCAAACCAGTCTTTGGGTTTTTATGGAGCCCTCACTGCACAGCCATGATTAAAGCTTGCACAACTATTAGAACACAAAGGTTATGATCTGAAGTGGATGTACTGATTAAGCCTGTCCAGCCCTGTCTCTTCAAATTGCTCTTGGTCTTTATGTGGAGAAGAGACTGCCCTTAAACTTGGGGTTGCAGGGCTTGGGAGTGGGGTGGGGGTAGGGGGCTTGTGATTATCAAATAAGGTAGGTTGAGAATGTCTGTATGGCTGACTCCAAGGCAAAATGGCAGGGGAAGATTAGAGGATATTCTTAGGCTCTGTAACCTGCCTTGAGAAAGAGAGACTCCAGTTTCTATGGCCTGCCTACAGAAGGGAAAGGATTAGTTTAAAAAAAAAATAAAAAATAAAAAGGAGGGTATGAGCAGAAACAGGGAGGGAAAGGGGGAGAGAGAGAATTTTCTTTTTAAGGCCTAAAGTACCCCAACATACAAAAGATTATTTTTATAGTTCTGAATCTGACCAAAAGTTGCTTCAAGAATCAAAGGGAAAAAAGCCAAGTACCTTAATAAAACATATGCTTATGGCTTTTGTTGCTTAGTTTAAAAAGAAAGGGTGCTAGTAGTTATAAACCACATATATGGGCCAAAACAAATACATAGTAAATTTTAATCACACATATGATCACAAGTTACTAAATTATATAGACTGGGTAATTTATAACATCAGAGACTTGTTTCTCACAATTCAGAGGGGCTGGGAAAGGCAAAGTCAAGGCACAGGCAGATAGATTCAATGTCGGTGGTGGCCATGGATAACAGCTTCTAGTTGCCTTTATTTGAAGAGTGATAACTTATACTCAAGTCCTTTCATAAGGACTCTCACCTGACTGACC